CTTTTGCTCCTTAACTTGCAGCAAAATCATACTCTGCAGGCTTACTCAGTGCACCATATATGCCCATGTGGGAAATTTGGACATTTCACTTTGGAAATCTGGTCATCACAGTTGATACCTATTCATCCACACAAGGAGATAGGGAGTGTTGGAGGTAAGAACTAAGAGGATTTGATCACAGGTCCATTAGCATTGTAACTTATGTTGCAAGACCTTGTCATGGAAGCAGTCCCACTGTGGATTTTGCTGATGCATGTGAGCACTGCAGGAGCAGGGCTGGAGAGATCTCCTGGCCATGCAATTGGTGCTAGTTTTCCATATACATGAAATCAGTACCCCTACTATTTGCCTAAATCAGTACTTCTCAACCTTTTAGGCTAGGGACAGACATTCAAAAAGCCAGAGCCCAATTTGATTCAATTTTGCAGGTTAGTCTAACTTGCAAAGATTGAACTGATTTACAAGTGCACAGACATTCATGTTTAATTCTGGAAATGCAGTGGCTCAGGCTAGAAGCCAGGGTGCACTATATCAGCCCTCACTTCCATTTGCAGTGGCCACAAGCATGGGTGACTGGTGCCTCCTGAGTCAGGGGGCCCTTGCCTCCCCAGCAGCAAACCAGCGACCAGTGGGGGAGAGTCCCTTGCGGCAGATTGCACTGACGGGGTGGGGGGGGTGTCCCCCCTGAGCCAATCACACTGATGGGGGTCCCCCCTGAGCCAATCACACTGATGGGGGCGGGCCCTGCGGCAGATCACGCTGACTTGGGGGGAGGCCCACAACCAATCATGCCAACCTGGAAGTGGCAGCAGTGTACCACTGGCACTTCAGGGCGCACCGCTGGCACTTCCGGGTGGGCATGATCAGCCGTGGGGAGGCCACAGGGATCACTTCTCCTGGCACCCCCACTCCCTGGCCAGCACTCTCAGGAGCGGCACCAATGCTCTTGCGTGCCCCCCCTGCCTGGGAACACTGGCTATCGGGGTGCACATGCACCCCCTACTCATCTCCACTGGCCTCAAGGCTAGAGGAAAGCTGATTTGGGGGGCATGTCCAGGCCCCCCACAGGGGCTATGTATGATTGGGGAGGGATTTAAACCCCCACCCTGGCCTGTAGGGATCCCAGCCAGGCTGTGCTTGGAGGGGGAGGGGAAAGCAACACTTCCCAGTCTTGTCCCCAAGGCCAGACACTAGCCGGGGCAGTGCCTCAGGCAAAAGGGGTAAGGCGGTGGGAATTAAACTCCCCTGTCTCTGGGCACAGGACCCCAGTTGGGTTTTGTGCAGCTTTCTTCTGGTTCTTGCTCGGGTGGCAGGGGGCCTGGCCAAATCTGGCCAGCATGGCCCTGCTATCTGCCCAGGGCTGGGGCTGGGGCTGCAGCTGGGGCTGCGGGGTTGAACCCAGCCAGCCTGTCGGTGTTGCTGAGGGCAGAGGCAGAGAGGCAGCCCAGGCTGGGGCCAAAGGGGCTTTGTAGCTCCCCATGCCCAAGCTGAGAAGAGCTGTCATGGAGCCCCAGCCAGCTGGGTTGGGCCCTTCTCAGCCTGTTGCAACTGCGTGACAGTCCAGTCCGGCAGCATAGGCGGGGGCTAGCTGGGGAGCGGGCTTCCTGGGCCAGTTCAGAGGTGCCAGCAGCCCCAATCCCAGCAGCTGCCACCACTGTGCCCCTTGCCCTGTGCAGCACCCAGGGCTGCAGCCCCATAAGCAGCAGTGGGCTGGGTGGAGGGCGGGGGGCTGTTCTGCCCCCCTCACTTTCAGCTTCCACAGCTGCAGCCACACTGCAGAACAGCACACTCCTTCTCCCCCCCTCCGCCCCGGCCAGTCCACTGCTGCTTGTGCAGCTGTAGCTCTGGGTGCTGCGCAAGGCAAGAGGTGTGGTGGTGTCGGCTGCGAGGCTTGGGGCCTGCCAATGCCTCTGAGCTAGCCCAGGAAGCCCACTCCCCAACCAGCCCCCACCTGTGCTGCCGGTCTCGGTTATCACTTAGTTGCAGCAGGCTGGGAAGGGCCCTGCCACCACAGGCCGCCCTCTGGCCACGCCCCTGCCCCTGCTCAGGCTATGGAGCAGAGGGGCGGAGCTAGCCCTGCTCTCTGGAGCAGCCCAGGGCTGCAAAGCAACTGGGATGCTGGGGGACTGATTTAACATAAACCAGGAAGGGGTCTGGGACAGACGATGCATAAACTGCTTTGACCCAAATCAGGTAAGTCTGAAACTGCATTCAGCCAGGTTTATCTTAAACCAGTTTTGGCCATTTTGAAACTGGTTTATGTGCAATGAACTTCCCTTCTGTTACAGGTTTAAACCAGTTTCTGATCACTTAACCCAGTTTATGTGTAACTTTTGTCCCTAGTCTTAGACTCGAGCATCACCAGAAAATGCCAGCTCTTAGTTTTCACTTGTTTTTTGGCTATGTAAAAATAATGGAGCAGTTTTTCTGTTTGCAAAGAAGTCAGAAAGCCAACTATGGGTCAGAATGCTTTTAAAACTGTTGATTCCTATTTGAAATCTTTGGGTTTATCTTGGGAAACATGTTTGCACATCTAACGGTACTAACATTCTGTGGCACCCTTGAAAGGATTTAAAGGCACCCCAGGGTGCTGCAGCACCCTGGTTGAGTATTAGTGGCCTAGATGGCCTTGTCTTTTCACCCGTCCACTCCTGGTAGTGGCTTTCTATGTACTATTTGCAACTTTGCATTTATGTAAAGTACATTTGCGTAATTTTTACTTTACACCAGTTTCAGCTGTGGGCTTTTTCCTCATTGAATTAAAATGTTGGTATGACAGCAAACCCTTCAAATGGAAGGCGATCTAGAATGGAAGCTTTGGGTTCTTTGCTTAGGCACGCTTGAGTTGCTAATTACCCTGTCTATTCATGGGGAAGGATTTATTTGTTTGCTTGAAATGGAGGCAAGTTCTTGCTTCTTATTGTGGGACTTTGAGCTTCTGTGTGGGTTTTGGGAAGAAATGAACAATAACCTAACAAAAGTCTTTAAGGACCCTCTTGTGCCTGCCTTGAGGATTTAGCTGTGATCATTGTCTCCACACTGGGACTCATTAAATTATTGATGGAACATTTTAAGTCCCTAATGCAATTTTCAGAATAATTTTGATTCCTCTACCCAGGTGTGTTTGTTTACTTGAAGAAATAAATGCGTCAAAAAGGGGAATTCATCATCATGTGGCTATCCTCCCTTAACAAAGGGTTCTGGATTCTATTTTGGAGACCAAGTGCTCAAAGGTTAACATTGCATCACTTTATTTTTAGATGCCCACATTTTTTTTTGTTGGCTCTAGCCCAAAGAAAATATATCCCCTGAAGAAACAGACCAGCGTTGACACTGGTTTTATAATTTTATATAGATTTTTCATTTAACTAAGGAACCAAATGGTCCCTTAAAAATACAAAACAAAATGAAATCTATCTTAAGTTCCACTAGTCATAAATCACTCTCCCTTTATTGTGCGAGTCTGTCAGTTTGGCGGTCCAGTTATTTCTGAGGAAATTGAAGCTCTTGATTTCAGAATGATTTTGCCAGAGTTGTGGTATAACGATGAGTCAGCCTAGGTGGCACAGCTGAAAGAAGACAGCTTTACTTTTCATGAGAGAAGTTGACATGTTCCAAGAATTACAAAAGATTTTGTAGAAACAAGCTGAGCAAATATGACCCTTAGTTTACACATTCATCGAGTTGTCATTTTAGTTATGCTAGTTAGGAGATTTTGTTGTTTCAGAATGATTGCAAATGTAAATGCAAACAGTTTATAAATGTTGCTCTTCAAAGACTATGTTGCTTTCCAATGTCTTTTAATTGACAAATGTCAGTAGTGGTTGTAGCATGCTAGGCCTTTGTATGTTAGTGCGTGATTTCCTAGAATCAATATGGGGAGAAGTCAAACTCTGTTAATTTACAGCTGGAATAGTACTGACCCAGATCTAGGAAAGCAAGGCAAACTTTTTTACTTTGGCCACTGTTACAAGGAGCAGGGGCGGATCCACAGGGGGTGCAGTGGCACCGCTCCATGCCCATTTCTGGACTGTACCACACCCTGGGAGCCTCGGGACTGCTTTTAAATCACCAAGGCATGTAACAATAGACCCTGCACCGGTTTGCGGCAGGGAGCAGCCACCCTTGCAGCACAAGTGGCTGCTCCTGCACCCCCCTTTGCCAAATCCGGGATCCATCCCTGTCAAGAAACACATTTTTGAGGTTATCTCAGGAGGTGTTCACACAATAATGTGCAATATGTTTTCCTATGGTAACAACAACTGTTTAACAGCTGACTTTCTAAGAAAAATGTCATTTTGCTCTTCTGAGAAATTCCATGAATAAGTAAAACAGTTTTGCAGCATTAGATCCATGATTTGTTTGGGCATTGACTTGTTGAAATTTGTCTGTGTATATTTCATTACAGGCTAAGGGCCTGTATCTTTCATATTTGTAACACAGGAAAGCAAATGCGCGGTGAGTTGTAAATTTACGAGTAATTATACTCTTACAATTGCTGTGATCAAAACCAGATTTTGTGTATTATTTCTGCACATGAATTTTATGTTCTAATAGTTATCTCAGACAGAGGTCATTAATACATTCTATTGAGGCTGAAATGTTCAAACCATTTAAAAAAAATACTGCTTGTTTTAGCTGTTGAGATATGGAAGTTTTGTCATGAAAGACTAGTTCTAATGAACTTCCACAAGTATTTGATGAAATGACCTGAGGCTCACAAAAGTTTATAGCATATGATACAAGGTAGTACCACTTATGGGATAATAGGTTTTTTTTGTTCTCTTGTGAAAAGTAAATGCTGTAGAACAGCCAGTTAAGGATATAGTTCTGTCATTGTGCAAAATTAATGCACATTCCTGTATGAATAGCAGGTGGTCATTCTGCAGGTGACTGTCTTCTATCTTTTTCTGCAAGGATATTTTATGGAGTGGTGAGGCCCTAGGCCTGTAATATTTTCACAGCCATCTGCAACTTTTATTTTCTTCTTTTTGATTTAGATCTTTTACTTGCTGCAGTCCTACTTGGAATCTAAACACAGGGTTAATTCAGACGTTCAGCGGGAGTTAGATGACATCATTACTTGTATAGAAGCCAAAGTATGGCTGGCCAAAAGGTATGTTAAAACACTATATGTGAAATGTTACATAAGTTATTAATACATTATAAGGTGGGGAAACTTTTTCTTTTGTTTTTTTTGCAAGACTATCAACATAAATATACCAGAGTTATGTACTATGTCAAGTCCTACTTATTAATGAAAAATATTTATTCTACTCATTTTAAAAAATAAAGGAAAAAGTATTAAAGTGTTTTCATTATATTTTGCCATTTCTTTCCTCTATCAGTTCTCTCTTCCCTACATGTAAAATAGGTGGTTTCATTTATATGCCACAAAAGGGTCCAAGTACAAATGTGAGCAGTTATCTCTAAAAGCTGAGTAAAGTGCTGAAGGAGAAAAGTAATAGCAACATCTTGAAGAAAGGATAATCATGGTTGCTATCTGGAGATAACAATAATATGTAAGTTGCAGTCATTAGCATGGCCATGTTGTCCTTACTTTTTCTGGTCAGTTTCCTCACAAAATAATCTAGAAAAGATGTCATAATAAGTACTTACTGAGCCTGTTAGAAGCTCTGCTTATATGGCCACCAACACTCCTGGATAGTTTAGGATGTTTTTCTTCAGGTTCTCTGCAGAAGAATAGTGATGTGGGCTACACACCAGCTTGAAGGGAAAAAAAGAAATAGTTCATTTATGTAGGTATAAAGTGTCCCTGAGCAACGTGTGTGCGTGCGTGTGTGTGTGGATTAAAAACAAACAAGAAAAACATGAGTTCTTTGGATCAAAGGCAGGGGTGGGCAAAATGGCAGATCTGGCCAGCGGCTGGACTCCGTTTCCCAGCAACCCCTACCCGTATGGCTGGGGCCTGTTTCCATGGAGACCCCTGCAGCAGCCACACTGTGATTGCATGGGGCCAGGGTTTCTGTGGATACTGGCCCCAGCAGTGCTGGCAGAGCAGGGAGCTGCTCCGAGGACAGGCTTGAATCTCACAGCAGTGACAGCATGGTCCAGAGCCGGGGCAGAGCCGCAATCTGCAGCCTGCATGCTCCAGGAACGGATATGCAGGCAGCAGATCACAGTTCTGCCCTGGCTCTAGACACGTTGTCACTGCTGCAGGTTGCTGGGGCAGAGCCGTGACCCACTGCTTGCACGCCCCTGCCCAGGACATGCAGGCTGAAGATCGCGGCTCTGCCTCAGCTCCAGACCATGGTGTTACCGCTGCAAGCCCTGGAGCAGCTCCCTGCCCTGCTGTGTGCCTGGCCAGTGCTGCTCAGGCCGGTCTTCACGTAAACCCTGACCCCATGCTATCAGAGCCCAGTTGCTGCTGGGGGTCTCCATGGAAACTGGCCCCACCCACACAGGCTGGGAAATGGATTCCACAACTGGCCAGATCCTGCCCATGAGCCAGACTTTGTCCACCCCTGATCAAAGGCAATAAAAAGACACTCATACAAATAAAAATAAAAATCAGCTCCTCTACACTTAAAGTAAAAGCTTAAGAGTTTTTAAGAGTGGGTTAATTATGGATGGATTTTTACTTGGTTAACTCTGAGATTCTTTGTAATGGACCCATTTTGTAAATTAACAACACTAATGAATATTGTATGCTTGTCTTCTGTCTCTTGGGAGAAAATATTTTCAGGGCTTCTGATTGTTTTAGTACTCTACAGGGTCTTTCTAAGAAATCCAGGAGTCTGGTGGAAATGTATGCCAACATGGATATATGTCTAATTCTCTTGAACACAAAAAAACACACTTGCATAGAATGACCACGTGCACAAATACAAGTCTGCATACTGTTTGCCTTTGTGAATCTGCTCTAAATTTTCCTGATCATGCACTGGAAATTACAGAGTTAGTTTAACCTGGATTTAGAAGTTTTTCTTTTAAATGAATAGAGCACTTATAATTTATACTTGAAAGACGGAATAAGAGTGGTGAAAACTTAAGACCAGTTTCTTTTAAACCAGGAATTTTTTGTATATTTTCAGTGTCAGGTTTTGGAACACTATGTTAAGTACTAGAGGATTGGTTTTAAAAACTGCAAAACAACTTTTTATCCCGTCATTTACTTGATCTGTGTATCTTTGTTCGCTTAGGGACACCATGATCCAGGTGGAATGTTTTTAACCTAATTGAAAAAATGAAAACATCCATGAAGCATTTGATAACAGAATGCAGTCCTAAATATATTTAAATATGAAAATAAAAGGGAGAAGATATCTGTTTGCCTTTTCAGCCCTCCTTCCATCTCCTTGAGATAAACAGGTGTTCAGTGTGTCTTGATTAAGAAATAATGTTTGAAATATAGAGCATTTCCTGGGGCTTAATTGAATGCCTTAGGGTTAACTGACTGAGCAGCTCCTTTCAGCCTGTCATTAGTCCCCAGGAAATGCCCTACACCAAGGTCGTTGTTACTATTACAAGATAAAAATGTAAAAACAAATAGGCATATGGATCTTGTTTTTAAGTGCGATTCTGTTTTGATTGGCATGTATGGGATGTTTTCAGAGAATTAATATCAGAAGCACAGTGTGCCAGATCTGCTGCTGGAGTAAAGAGGTGTAGCTCTTTTGCTGTAGATGAAACTGCTGATTTATGTAAAGTGAGAATCTGATTCTGTGTATGCTTATCTCTGCGTTAATCTGGTCTGTCTCTTTATCTCTGTGTTAATCTCTCTCATCTCTCAGCTTTCTTTAGTCTCTGTAGCCACAATATTCTAACACCACCCAAACATTTAAACATAGAAATAATAATAATCTCTCTCTCTCTCTTCTCGTTACTTCCTGGTCTGTAGGAGAAATACCCAGTTATGTTGCTTATTGTATCTCAGCATTGCTGGTTATGATCCTAATTAACCTATGCTGAGTTCAGATATGTATGTGCCTGTTGTCCACAATCTGCAGATTGAAAACATTAACACAGCATCCTGTTTTGGTGGGATCTCAAGTAATACAGTGGTTTTTGCATTTGTTATTTAAATATACACATGGTTAGGAAAGAAAAACCTCTTCTCCTAAAGGTTTCCAGTTATATATAATAGTAACAGGCAATTTTGTCATACTTAAGTCACAGTTTGGACAAAAATTATCTGAGTTCGCTTTCATTTTCCAGTACTGCAGATATCTATTAATGATATCTGCAGATATCTATTAATGATACACAACATTTACCCTGGCCTCCCACAGGAGCAGAGCCAAGATAGCTATTCTTAATACTTCCTCATGTGCTAGAACACAGGAAGGTTTCATTCTTGTCCTCCAGTTGTGACTCCTTTAAGCAAAAATAGTGGATGATGGTACTAACTCCAGTTTCTTCGGTCTCCTCCATGGGTAGCACTCAAAGTTAACCTGAAATCTGCTTGTTTGTGTGTTCTGATTCACCCAGCTTTTTATTTACTTTGACTTTAAGATGATACTTAAATGGTTCTTTTGGGTCTTTGCAGGTATTTTGATGATGCTAGTAAACCCCTTTCCTCGGAGGTGGCAGGGGCAGGGAGGGGAGGGATAGGATAGAGAATCTTCCTAGTCCTTTCCAGCCATTCTAAGCTTTCCAGGTGTAACCCCAAGATAGGAACCTTACCTAATCTCTCATGTGGACTTCTAACCAAGCAGGCAAAATTTTATCTCTTGTTTTAAAACTTAACATTCTGAAGTGTTTTTAGAAAAGTAAAGTAAATGGTAAATGGCAAAAGTCACAGCCAGTACAAATGGGTTAGCAGAGGGAGAGGATTGAGTCAGTTTGTCCCTTCATCCAGACACCAGGGAGACTCATGGAGTGAATGAGAGGCAGAAGAGCTAGAATGGGGAAATAAATGATTGCAATAAAGTGGTAGTGAAAGCTGCCTTTGCAAGTTTCTGCTTTGCATCCATATCAGGAGCAGGCTGCTCCAAGCTGGTGAAGTGTCAGTCTGTTACGGGGTTTCCACTCTGAGGGCTGTGAAGTTTGTTTTTCAGTCTAATAGTCTACTCCACATGCTTTGTGCACTGTTCACCAGCTTGGACCACTTGTGTGTCCAAAGACCTTTCTTTCAGGTGCATTATCATTCAAGAAGAGGTGAGCCCAGTTCTTCAGATAGTGCTCAGTGCATCCTCTAATTGCTCAGAAATCTTATTTTGATATGGGGGACAAGACATACATGACAAGGGAAACTTACCAACTACACTTGGGTCTCTCTTTATGCAAATTTGTCTTGTACAAATTCGTTTATATGCAACAACCTTATTTATACCAGAAATTTGCTTTGTGCTAGAAAAATATGATCTTATGTGAAGTCAGCTGGCAATGAGCTCCCTGCAGGTTGGCAGAGTTCCAGCCTGAAGGGAGCTGGGAGGAAGTGGAAGGAAGGCGGTGAGACAGGGAGCACCACGTGCATGTACAATAGAGCAGCCGGTGTTCCCTTCTGGCCTGCTTCCCACCCCCAAGTGCCTCTCCATCCCCACCCTGCGCTGCCCTGGCGACACACCCCTTGTGCATGCCACTTTTTGCAGCACAGAGCTCGCAACCTCTCCGCATAGCAGTCATTGTATTGTGTGATTACTGTGTGAATTTGTCATGGTTTGTGGTGGCAGTAGACTGAGGCTGGTACATATCTCTATTAATTACATGTAATAACGGATTCGCTTTACGTATATTCACTTTATACAAGTTTTTTTTTGGAACATAACCCTTGCATAAAGAGAGACCCGAGTATAATGTGAATATTGTAGCTAGGGACACCAGGCTTTCATAGTCCATGGCTCTTAAGTCATCCCACCAAGTAGACACCGTTCCCACTTACAGAACCTTTTGAAATTTGAAAATGCTCCATAAAATGGAATTACCTTTCCTTGCACAGCTCTAGTCCTGAACACCTATCCTTGATAGAAAGAGAAGGAGCTACAGCAGAGAATTACTACTCATTTTTTTTCTCTTTTTAATTCTGGAAGAAGCCAGTTCAGCTGTGAAAGCATCAAGAGTGTAGCTTTTGCCTGAGCAGAAAAGGAAGACTGAGTGACCGGAAGATAAATCTCTGTCCCTGCTCTATGTAGCAAAATATCTGTAAAAATAGCT